TCATGGTTTCTTTTTTCCCAGGCTGGGTTTCGGGAACTGATTCAGCGCATGAAAGGGACAGATCACCGGAACTAAGGTAACAGAACCAACAGAAATTCATTGCCAGGAGCAGGGGCCTGCTCCTTTCGTCAGCTAGAACTAATTTATTCCTAATCACTTTAGGATTCTTCTTTACAGCTTTTGAAGCAGTACTTTCCTCTTTCATGCTTGATCTTTTCTGTTTGTTTTACAACCCGCCAGCAGGAAGTTCTCTGGGCCCACAAACAGTGATTTGCAGTCCTCAGGCAGGAGACCGGGGGTTGAAGAGGAGCAACAGTGAGGAATGATTTCTCAGCGGAAGCAGAGAAGAGCACAGGCAGCAAGGGAAAGCGAAGCAGAGCACCTTCCCAGCATGGACCCCAGAAGCACCCCGCGTAAAATAGCTGCACGGTGAGAGAGAGGGTGGTTTGTGTAAGTTAAGGCAACAGGAAGGCTGGGTCAGGGGCAGTGCTGACACAACAGCTCTCGTAAATCCCACTCCAAGTCTTTTTTTAAAAGGAGGCAGCTGCTACCAGCTGCAGAATGAGACCTAGATGGTGGCCAAGTAACAGAGGATGCTGCTGCCTCTTGGGAACATGCCAAACTCAGTCTGTTTTTAGCTGTGTCTACAGCAGCAAATGGCAGGAGTAGATCTGCCAAGGGGGCCCTCTAAACTAACTCTAGCTGGGTCCCAAGACTCGAACTCCATTCGCTGCTGGAGGGCAATATCCATTTGAATTTTCACCTACTATAAACCCAATTAGCACACTCCAAAAACGGTCTGGGATGTGAAACAAAGAACTTGGAGATTTGCACATCAAGCTCATCTAACACACTGAAGTAGCTGCACCTTGTCAAATCTCCCTTCTGGGATCCCCTTAAGAAAGGAAGAGCAGGCAGACATCTCCCAAGCAGAGGGAGTAAACAATTAAGAGGACCATGCCCAGGTCAGATGAGAAAGCACACTGCTTGGAAACCCTTTGAAGCAACGGGCAGCATTTACCCGGTGACATACCGCAGTTTGGGAAATGCCAGGAAACAAACTTGTAAGGAGCCTGGGTGACTCAGTAGTGCTGGTAAAGATGAAGTTGCTCCAAAAACCACTTCTCCCAGAGGTCTTATCAAATATGCTCATCTTTCCTTACACAATACCCTACCTGCATTTTAATAAGAGTCACACCTAGGTAAGTATAATACACAGTGCTGATGGCAAGAACTAGCACATTACTGGGAACGAGAGGAGTAAAGTGTATGGCTGAGCAAATGAACTCCCTCCTGGGAAAGCTGCAGAGCTCAGCCTCTCTCACTGATCTCCCAAACGCTTAAGATGAGCCTAGCTGTTCTTCAGCAGCACCACTTTTCTTCCAAGGCATAACATCGTTTCCCATTGCCCCAGAGGGAAACAGTCAAGGGAGAGCACGAAAAAGCTCCCATCTCCAACATGTTCCTGATGGCATAGTGCAGGGAAGCTTGGAGCGTGGGAAGAAAAGAGACCCATACACAGTTTAACACAATCTGAGCACCAGCCTGAGTTACAGCAGCCATGCAGAGACCATGCCCCTGCACCAGGAAAGAGCAGGGTTAGTTAGGTCAGCTTGTACACAGTGGCAAATTCCCACATATTCACTAAACCAGCAAGGGAAGGACTGAGCATAAGGGTGTGCTTAAAGTTATTTCCTGCTCGGGAAAGCAACTGCTGCCCTGGAACACTCTTCCCACCAGTAATCAACCTTTTTTTTGGATTACTGACACAAGAATGTCACAAGAGAGGCAGGACTTTCCTCCACATTGAGTACTTGCCTATTTAGTGGATAGTCCTGATTTTCCGTATTTCAACAGTGCTGACAACAGCACAGTGGGAAAACAAACTGATTCATGCTATTTGTCACCACAGCGTACAGGTGTTTACCTGATACAGCTGGTCAGTCTGTGTGCACGCTCCCACCTCCTCCCTAAGCTTCAACACCAGATCGGCTCTCCTACCTTCTCCCTTGCAGTCATTTCAGCATCAGCTCGACCACAAAAACCAGGCAGCAGCGTCCACTACTGCAGCAGGAAAGTAATCTGCAAGACGTAACGCTGCCATGCGATTAGCATATGTAATTATCTCCCTGTACAGATAATGGAGCTAATGTGAAGGACGGTGTGGGAACACACAGCCGAGGCAAGGAAAGGGGACAGTCACTGCTTCAGGGACAACAAGCAGCTACTAAAGACACAGAGCCTCTTGTTCAGAGTAGCCAACAGAAGCAAGAGCTCTGCATACTACCTGCTTTTAAGCAAAACTGATTGAGTACTGGGAATTAGAGGTTCACATGAGAGCCAACTGACAAGCAGAAATCACTAACCTAGTCTTTGTGCAGGGTAAGTGGCTGCTGAATAGAAGAGTTACGTCAATAACCAAAAGATTTCATTATGGGATTGCTGTGCGTCCCAGCTATCAAAACAAGAAGCTGCTCCTCAGTTTCCATGCAGCCTTCCATCCTTGGAGCGATTTTAATGGTTCTCAGATGCTTTCCCATCAGAGATTTCTGGCTCTTGACAAGAGACATCCTTAACAAATGTAGCAGCTGGTTAAGCAGCCAGCCCAGACCTAAGATACTACTTGTGCCAGTGAGCTACTAGAGGTACCTCAAAAATGCTCACAGGTAAGGAATACAGCACTGAGCAGTAGGTACATCTTCAAGTAAGCAAGTCCTCTACTGTAAAAGCACTAACATGAGGCAATCCCAGCTCATACCATACTAGCTTGCCACACTAGCATCAAGGGAAGTGCCAAGTATGCCCTCCTGCCTCCAAGGCCTTTGCTTTCAAACCTGCTAGATGAGACAGGCACTCCTAAAAGGAAATTAAAATGGTGGTATTGCCTGCTTTAGCCCATTTTGCATGCCTTCACACAGGGAGACAGTCACCAAGGTGATCTTATGCTCATGTAACCTGGCAACACAGAGCACATCTCTCACACCTGGCTTGAGAGAGATCTCACCAGTGGGCTCCAGAGAAAAAAGGCATGGAAGGTGATCATGTAAGGTGATCATGTAGGTGATCAAGGTGATCATGCTCATGTAACCTGGCAACACAGGGCACATCTCTCACACCTGGCTTGAGAGAGATCTCACCAGTGGGCTCCAGAGAAAAAAGGCATGGTGTGAAAGGATCCGTGAGCTGTTCCATCCTCCCTCTGCACTGGGCTAGCTATGTGCAAACAGGGTCACGGAGCTATCAGTTGGACTTTTGCAAAGCTAATGCAACACAGAGGAAAGAAGCAGCACTGTTCATCATCCAGCACCTCCAGGATTCCCTCCAGAGCCCTGTGGCACTGGCTTAACAGCACAGACTTTATTGTTCAGTCAGATGGACTGGCACAGATCACCGCCATAAAAATGTATGCAGAGGGACCAGATAGCTACAGGCAACCCCCACATACGGATGTATCCAAGACAGAAAGCTTGACAGGGTAACCCTGCTACTTAAAGCAGAGTCTCAAAGGGTTCTCCCCCCACTCCAGAGGCAGTTTCCTGCCTGATTTCATGCAAGCAATAATCCCTCGGTCACCAGTCTTGCTGCTGGCTTCAGATACATGAATTAGGTTTAGCTATTAGAAGGTGCCACAGCCCATTTCAGTTTGCCATAAGCACAGAGACCAGCCACCAATACTCAACTCTCAAACATTGCAACGACCAGCAGTACTTTCAACAAGAAGCCACAGACCTCCCCACAGAAGACAGCTATTAAAAACTGAACTGCAAAGGTGAACAGCAGCACTAATTACTGAAAAGAGTGAAAGGCACACAGTTTTACCCTCAGCTTCTGGATTACAGCACCCACAAGTCAGGTTCTTAAAAAAAATTACCTTTACTGATGTTCTTTGGAATGTGTTTTAATAATTAATACAAGTTATGCATCAACAGTGTAAGAATTCATCGTTTCTTTGGAGAATTAACGAAAGGTGTAATAAAGCTGTGTATTTTGTGGAGGGAGATAGGTATGAAGTCATTTGTCCCTTTAGGGTTTTTGCTATCTGTCCTTGAACAGGGAGCAACAGTAAACTTCCAAAGACCAGCTTCTTGACACAAGAGGTACAAGAGCCAAATAACCCCCAAAAGCCAATTTTTAATATTTGGGAACAGGCACAACGATAAGTATTCCTTTCACTAAGAAACACTGTACCCTCTCTTCAGAGTTGGGTATGACAGCAAAGACTCTGCAACAAAGCTCAGAGCAATCCTGACAGAACTGATGTCAGCAGCAGAGATGAGGGAAGACATGAACCAACAGGACTGAGCATGAAGGAGACCCCCAAACTAACTTGCAAGGAGGAGAGTGGGACTCACAAGGGAAAAAAAGCCGTATTTACAAGTCCTTCACACTCAAGAGAAAGGCAAGGGAAATAACTACCCTCAGGCAGGCTTGTGAAGATACTTTATGTTTAATACATCTGAAAAGAATGCATATACAAAGAACTTAGACATGAAAAAGCATTGGTTCAACACTAATGAGTCTACAAGAAATCAGAATTTTGGAAGATGGAGAAGATTCCCTACATTTTAAAAAACTTTGAATTGGCAAGCCGAAATATACTTGTGGTAAAATTCCTACGACACTGCAGTCAGTCTACGTAAAGACCCTGCACACAATCCTCAGTGGGCTGGGGCCCATCTTACAGGTTACTGATGAGCAAAATGCAGAAAAAGGGGATTCCCTTAACTGGTCCCTGTATGGTGCCACATGAAACACTAGAAACCCCTCCCTGCAGCTCCTTCCGACTGACACAGGTCTGTCTTTCCACCCCTCCCTAAAGGAGGCCAAGCCATCCAGCAAGAGATGCACCACCAGGGCCAGCTAAAAAACTCGTCTTAACACACACCAGGTCTTTTCAGAGTGTCAGCAGCATACATGCTGGTCATCGTAAGCATTTCTCTAACCATTAAGCATTGGCAGAAGATGGATTTGTTAAAAGCCAACTGAATCAGTTGGGCACGCTTTAAAAGGTGCGGTTATTTCTTCATCACATGACAAAAGCTTATGATGTCAAGATTAAGGAGGAGACTGGCAAGCTAGTTTCAAGTCAAACGGTGCATCCAGAGAAAAGGATTCTCCTATTCCTAAGGCTTCATAACTTAGAGGAGGGGGGAGAAATTTATGACCTGCACAGTGGAAAGCAATGGGAAGAGATACAAGGCAACTTCAGAGGAGATGCAGATACGTTTTCTACACGCCTCCTTAGAGGAGCACCAGCTTGGGACATTTTACTTTCCTGTATCTGTCTCTAGTACTGACGTCTGCTCACACCCAGGCTGCTGGCTGGCTGCAGAACAGCCCTAGAAGTCCTGCCAGACTGGCATAAGGGACAAGGCTTCAGTAAAACAGCCTAGAATTAGTCTGTTACAGAAAAAGTCATCACAAGCATGCCTGGATTTTAAACAAAAAATTAGAAACAGTAAACAATAAAAAACTAGTACTGATCAGTGTTTTCTGGTAATAATTACTCAAAATTAACTAGTTTAACTGAATTGAGGGAGCACTGGGGAATAAACACTAACATTCTCATCTCACACAGGAATCGGGAAGGGGGGAGATGGGAGTGCAGGGCATTTGTCATTATTGCGAAAACAAATTTTACAGTTTGTATCTTTAGTTTGATTTAAACATTGCTTTTAGTATGACATCGAACACCAGCTTTGCAGAAGGGGCTGTGGAGGGACGTTCATAGCAGCACACACCTGCGAGTCTTCTTCGGCTCCGGAGGCTCCAGGGCAGCCAATATCGCTTCATCAAATACATTCTTTAGGCCTTTCTGAAAAGGGGCAAAGAGAGAAACGGGCAGTCTCATTTTTGAGTTGTCACACAAAGAAAGTCACAGAAAGCCAAATGGCAGTCAAACCCCTCTAACGACGAATCCAGGTTTCCCCACCTACAACTCCCGAGACTCCTTGCTCAGCCAGGCCCCGTCCACACTGTGCTGCTACAGCTAGCGGCTCCCGAGCACCGCATCTGATTTCTGACCAGGAACGCAAACCCTTTGAGGCCAGACCAGTATACTTCACAAGAAGCAAAACACACACATATCCAAGTCATTTCCTTAAGGCAATTTTTATGATTAGGTGGCTACTAGCACATTTGACATGCTAATGACAGAGCAGAAAGTGCTGCATTCAAACGAGGAGCTCGATCCGGAGCACGCTGGGTACAGCAATGCGGACACCCGCGTGTCGGGAGAGAAGAGACAAGGCAAGCATGCAACAGTAAATCGGTCTGGTAGACGCCCTGGTCAGGCTTCCAGCCCCAAACCCCCGACGGTTAGAACAGCCAGGTAGAGCCCAGAAGCTGTGCATGGTATCAGAGAAGTCAAGATGGGAGTACGAAGCAGGCACTGCGCATTGTGTTAAGTGTTAAACTGAAGCCAGGAGTGCAACAGGAATAAAGCTTCATCAGTCATTTATACAAACAACTGCAATTTTTAATTTCAAAATTTAAAGACAAGCTACAATTGATGTTTTCTCCTTAAAACAATAAGAATCAGAAGCATGAGAGAAAAAAGCAGCTTTACATCTTACAGTAACAAGCTTTAAGGATATAGTATTGAAATGAAGAGGTCTACCATGTTAGTGAAAGCAAGAGTTTTAACAGTTCATAAAGCAGTAGCAAGTACATTGATATTTCCTTCCCCCCAAGGGCTGACAAATACTCCACTACAGCACAGACAGCCAAAGCAACAGCAACAAAAAACATCTCACTGCACAAAGGAGAACCAGAAAACCCTCCACATTACAGCAGTAACTTGCAGATCACCGTTTCATGTACTTTCGTCATGCAAATACAGTTAACAAGAGTCACAAGTAGAAATTGAAAAAACACACATCATTTCTTCCAGCTGGATACAGGAAGATCAAACATCATGTCTTAGTCTTTTAATCTTTCTTTAAATAGTGATGTAACCAGATCCTTTCCCCCAACAGCCTGAATTAAAGCTACCCACATCTGGCAACCCAAGCTGCAGAGAGTTAAGCGAGTCCAGTTCGTGTTCCACGGTCACAACGTTTTACTAGAGATATTGAGAACTGTTTTCAGTCCAAGAGCTAATACAGAGGTTGCTCTAAGATGGCAAGCAGACACAACGGCTTTCAATCAAGGTTGTTTTATTCATTTTTTAACCAGGTTTCTACAGTAGTGGGACAGAGGAAGCAGCAGCAAGAGGGGAAGGAGAAAGTTTAGAATATACAGCACTTCCTTTTGGGCTGAGTTTCCGGAGGCTCGAGGGCAGCTAGGATAGCCTCATCAAACACATTCTTCAGACCTCTCTACAAGACAGAGGGGAGGAGAAAAAACAGCAGCCAGGTTAGAGGATTAGAAAAAAACAAGCAGATACAAAGAGCATTCAGGATAGACTAGGCTGAATTCACAGAGGCAGCAAGCAGATTTACTTTGCAAAAAAACAAAGTAGATCCCAGGAGGAAATCTCTTTTAGGTGACCCAGAAGTCAGTGTCAGAGACGGACAGAACATGCGACGGACCAAGTTAGACAAAACGAACACCCAGAAGGGCAGATGCACAAACACGGCAGCAATTGGCAATAACAGGGGGGTGGGAGAGGCCACAGAAGAGAGAGTGGTTTCCACATAACTGCCGAATATACACGTTGGGAGTTTACAGGGGACTAAACACAGTGGAGAGCAGCCTACCCCACCACAGGGATCCAAAAGGTCTGGTGAACCTTTTGTAGTCACCCACCGTGGAGAAGCGAGCACAGACTTACTGCTCCCAGCTACCCCAGCGGCAGCTAGTCCTGAGCCAAGGCCCCAGACAACTCTGCTTTGTGAATTCAGCCCCTGAATAACTGAAGATGGCTGGGAAGACAGGGTCTGGGATCAAAGCAGTACCTCTCTGGTAAGCTATCGTCACCTTCATACACTGGCTATCAGTCTCTGAAAAAGCAATGCAATACCTTACCAGTGCTGCTGGTTTGACCCGGAGAGCATTTCAGTTATTCAGTTTAGTTACCAAAGCAAGTATAACCACTCGAGTCATGGGGAGACAGAAATGGTGTTAGGATCGGAACAACTGAGATCCAACACCAGACAAGCAGTCACAGAGCTGCAAGGAGTCTGCAGGGATTACACCGGCGCACGAAGCACGTGTCGCATTTGCTCTAAGCACAACAGGAACACCGCAGAGTGTCACCACTCTCACACAGCTCTGCCAACTTACATGTGAACAGCAGAAGTGAAACCTGGCTCAGTTTATGCTAACTGGACTCGCCTAAATCTACTGTCGTGAGTGCAACCTTCACAAATTCAGAACAACTGCTTCATCCCAGCCAAAGACAAACTGAAAAGCTTAAATTATTTCCTCTAGACAGTTGTAGTCTTTAAAAAAATTAAGATTTCTACTTATTTTTTAAATCATTCAAATGTAACTGGTTTCTCCCTCACTGGTTAGACTGGATATATCCCTTTTATGCAGTCTTTAATCTTCTTTTACTGAAGCACCTACATGGGAGATCTCTAAGGCAATTCCATCTGGAAGCATTTCAGTCCATCATGTTACATGCAAAATTATACATGAAAGAGCAGAAGTTAAGGAAATCAGCTCATACAATCACTCCGTATATCCTCCTCAGCAACTTTTTTTTTTTTAAACCAAGCTGCAACGCAGACTGACAAAAGAGCTAGAGACTTCAAATAAATCATGCCCATGTGAAGTCTGAGTACTAATTAGATTTTCTTTCTCTACAAGAATAAGGCTGTAGTATAAACTCAATTATGTACTGCTAGATAGATTAAAAAACAGGCAGGGTAAGAGTCAAGAAAACATGCTTCTTTAATTCTCCTACTTGTGGACTACTCCTTGTTTTCCTACTGCACAGGAGAAATTAATTCAAGAGAACAGAACCTGGGATTTGTTTTGAAGGACCTAGCAAAAAACTGGTGTAAGAAAAAAAAAAAACAACACAGGACAGTGACAAAATTGTCATGAAAATGGGACTGAGGTTAAAAGCCTGGATCATACAAGAGTAACCACATGAATGGAACTGTGTTCAATACCACTGGCACACAACCCTCGATACCCCGGTTAAAGTAACACGGCTCCTGTGCTGCACTGGGGAACAGGCTGAGATTCGGCTCCCGTGCTGCACTGGGGAACAGGCTGAGATCCGGCTCCCTTTAACCCCTCCCTTCACGTGCAGGTTAAGACACTTCATAAGTGTGTGTCAAAACTGTTAATCCAGCGTCTGGGGAAAATGGGAACTGAATTCAAAGTTCTCCCTTGTATTACCTTTGACCTTTAAGTCCACTCAGACATTTGGCTCTTAAGTGTAACAGAAGCAATAATTTTGGTTGTTACCTGTTTTCAGTCACCCTTCCCTAACAGCAAAGTGTTACCCACTTTTCACAGTAGCACTGGGCACTATTTCATAGAGAAAAATTACAGACAGACATTGGAAGTGCCTTCATCACAAAAAGGGATTCCACAACCTGAGGGAAAGGGGGATAGAACTGACTCCTCAGCCATCCAAACTCAGGGAGGAGAAAAAATCCTTTATACAGAGAAGACTCAAACTCAGCCTCTTACAACTCACCTAGTGCTTCCAGAACACTGACATCTCCACATAGACAAGCAAGTTCTTCTCAGGAAAGAACCCCAAAACATGCTCTGGCTCCACAATTTTATGATTACTTGTTACTGTAGTGTCAAAGTCATTTGTAAACTAGTTGGAAAGGAAAAAGCACCCTGGACTGCCAAGGTAAACTACAGACAGAAGCCAAGGTAGAAAGAGCCTGAACTACCCTGCTGAGTCTAGCTTCAGTTGAAACCAGGTACTGCACCACCGCCTTGCAGGTAGGAAAACAGCCCTCCTGGCCAGGAAAGCCAGCCGACTCCTGTGTTCGGCAAGCTGCCAGCTAGATCACTGCCGGGAACTTCAAACATCCCTTTGCAGATAATCTACATTTCTCTTTGGCAGCTACTGCTGACAGACTGAGTAAAAACGTCTTTTGTGAGGGGAGTCAACAACAAATGAACGAGGAAGAATAGAGCAGATGCAAACCAACTAGTCTTCCAGGTGAGAAGGTTTCCAAACGCTCCTCTCAGGTTATTCTTGATTCCTAAAACCATCAAGGAGTACAAGCACTAGAGCTCTGGAAGAAATTCAGGCTGAGCTTCCAAGTGCATAAAGCTGCTCTCTGCAATAGATACAGTTTAGTCTATTGGGAAATAAGAAGAAAGGATAAACACTGAAATTTTTAATCATATCAACTCTTAACTCTGGTAATCCTAAATGCTTCCCTGAGATGAGCAGACCAAACAAGGCAAGTTGAAAGCTACAAAGGAAAGAGTCTCAGTGAGCAATACAGGGCAAAATCCTGGTACGTATTTAACCACTAGCAGGTTCTACAGCCTAGTTAGCATCAGCATGTGCCAGACACCATCTAAAATGGCATTTCAGGACTGAACGGATCTAAGAATTACAGCTTAAGGATAACCAACCCTCAGCTTGTGTGCAGGCAGTAAGGAAGCACAGCCAAGACCACCTTTTGATCAGGGATTCCCAGGATGAACTGCCTCGCTTCACCACCTTCAGTGCCAGTGTCTGCACAATTCCACCAAAAGCCTCTTCTCAGCAACTCAGGCAAAGCTTGGTTACAAAAAAGAAAGTCTCAGGATCCCATATGGAAAAATCAACATACACTCTGGTCAAAATGTGGAAGATAAGCAGAAATTCAGGCTTCTGAAGATTAAGTTCCCAGGGTATCCAAAATCAAGGCAACATGCCAGCTAGCCAGCCAATGGCTCCCATCACCCCAACCTAGTGCTCCTAACTTAAAGCGAAAGGATAATGGGGTTTTCTGGCCTCACATCAGCTATTTTAGTTGGCTTTAGACTCACATTCACAGGTCAGTTCGCACAACATCCCCATGTTTATATCCTAAGAACTATTTCATTGTTCTTTTCTGTTTCAACAGAACTTCCATCTTAAGGCAGACAGAGGAAACACAGCTCACCACCAACTGCACAGGAAGCTCTCAACTATGAAGGCTTCTAGTCTTCAGAAGTACCAGAACTTACTTTTCTGAGAGGATTGTCTCTTTGGTTTGACTGCTGTCTTCAGCAGTGAGCTGCATTCTGTGTCCTAACCCAGTTACTGTCTGTAACACACCTTCAAAGTTTTCAACAGCAAAGGCAGCAAGCACATCCTCCTCCACTATCCTTCTGCACTATGCCCGGTCTTCACAGGCTGATTTTCTTTGTACCACTGCCAGCCCCTTGTGCCTCAGAACAGGATAAAGACAGCTACTGTGCCAACAGCAGAAAGAAAGCTCATACCCTTCCCCATCCATATTAAGCTGTTTGTCCACATAACTGAAAAGAAGCATGGAACTCAAGCAAGGAAGAATGGCCAAAGACTAACTCTCACCTGCGTAAGCGCAGAGCATTCCACGTATTTGACAGCCTTCAGGTCCCGGGCCAGTTTTTCAGCTGTCTCTGGAGTTATGGGCTTCTGCTTGTTCTTGGCAAGTTTCTCAATTGTTGAAGGATCATCTCTTAGATCGATCTGGGTCCCAACAAGCAGGAAAGGTGTCTTTGGACAGTGGTGAGTAATTTCAGGTACCCACTAAAGACAGAAAATATTTGTTACTAACCACCTAAGGTAACTCCTGACCTATTCCTGAAACCTCTCCTGCAGCTCCCTTTGTAGGCAGAGCTCAACCAACCTTTTCTTTCACATTTTCAAATGAAGAAGGAGACACCACTGAAAAACAGACCAGAAATACATCTGTCTGTGGATAGCTGAGGGGTCGTAATCTATCATAGTCTTCCTGACCTGGAAGAGGAGAAAATTAGCACAGTATTAGACCCAGACAATTAAACGCTGCCCTTTAGAGGTGGTAAGAATGCATATTCCAGCACAACAGCATTATTGTACTTAATCCTAACTCTTAAGCAAACACGCATGCCCCCAACCCAAACATTCGAAGATTCTGGTTTTCAAGGGCAGAGTTAATACAGTTGCTATGTAACAAGAAGCTGCTTGGAGTCACAGGAGAGCTGGGAAGTCTGACAGGAGCACACTCCAACAAACTGTTAGATCTAACACCCTCAGACCACAGGACACTGTCCTCGTTTGTAATGAAAAGTTGCAGAACATGTATCTGGTTACAGATCAGGTCTTCTGCACCCAGACCTTTCATTAGAAGTATCATGCAATCAAATTTCATTACACTGTAAACACCCTGCAGGTTGGAGAGGAAAAAAAATGTAGTTCTGTTGACTAGAATGTTCCGGTTTATGCCTGTGGACTCTTAGTGTAGTGTCCTCCAGGCAGCCAGTTACAGACAGGTGAGTGTGTTCAGGCCATCCAGCAGCATTGCCCTACAATCTCAGCAAAGCCCCAGGGCCAGCTCTGCTTCAGAAGGAGCCAGGCTCCTCCCTTTGGGTGGGCGAGACAACCAGCAGTTCCTGCCGCACACCACTCGCACTGACCCACCAGCCCGGCTCTGCCCGAGCTCATTCTTGAATCTCCCCCTGCTCAATTCAGTAGCACTCGGGTTTTGGAAAACAAGTCTTGCGCTAAAAAGGAGCTGCTGTACTCGCTGGCAACCAAACCAAACACTTGTTCAAAATGCCAATGGCTGCTCTCTTACCTATCATACAGGACAAAGACCTCTGAGATCTTGAAGGAGATGACTGATCAACCTGGGACGTCTCAGTAGAGGAAGACCTACACTTTGAAGACAAAGGTCTAAAGAGCTTGTGACAGCTGTCGTGCTTGGCTGGACACAAGAGGAGCTAAGCACAGACCAAAACATCTTCCTGTGATTAACAGACTACTCCAAAAAGCTGTCCTCATAGAACAAGCTCTAAACAAAGACTTACTTTTAATTTGAATTTGACATTTTAAATTGTTTTATCCATTTTTAAGTTCTGTAACTTGTGCTGGCTACTCTTCAGCGAAACGCAGGTGACACTAAAGAAGGAAAGGCTCCCATTTCAGAAGCCCAACTCTGAAAGGAAAGCCTTCACATTCACAAGGGTGTAGTCACCTACACACACTGAAGCCACTTAGTTTTCAGAATTACTACGCAGGTTACTGCACTCCTGCTGACAGACAGTACGTGGATACGCGTATCTGCACACACACACTAGTTTCCAAAGGCCTGAACCCAGAGGGTCTCAGCAGGGAAACAGGCAGAGAAGGCCCTAACTCAGCTTTTACCCATGCGGGTATAGGAATGCTATAGCTGAGACCCACCTAAGTACTGGTCTCTACAGAGCTAACGCAATGCATGTCAGGAAGGAGCCTCTCTTCTCTAATTAACTCCATATCCAAGAATTAAGGTGCTTGCAATAACTAACACACAAACCACATTTATGAGAAAGTGTGAAGAGCTAATTGAAGCTACAAGGTTTAACTGGAAGCATAAGATAATTTCATTAATCAAATAAGACACTAATGATGATGCTGTAAAACAGAAACAGATTATAGAATCATAGAATGCTTCAGGTTGGAA